TGGGTTCTAATTGTAACCAGCTCTCAATTATAAAAGAGTAGAATGGACATAGATACATGGAGGATGACAGACATCATGTGAGGCATGTCTACAAGCCAAGGAGCTGAGGAACACATGGCAGCTAGTGAAAAAGAATATAGCTGAGACCCCAAAGTGAGGGGAAGAAAATGTTTGGTCCTTCAAGCCCCACATCAGCATTAGGTCTTAAAGATAAATGGTTCTTGGGTTTATATAAAGTTTATTGCTGATGTGATTTTTGAGACTACAAAATATCTACTTTGGCTTTCTTTAAATATCAGCAAACAGTTTGTGTGTTATTTTTTATTAGCAGGAGAAAATTAGAAAGTTATATAGGAATGAGTGTGACAATATACACAACCAATTCTGACAACTGAAGCCTGGTCCAATTTAATAATTACTATAGTCACTCTGAAGTTGGGAGAGAAAAGAAGAAACAAATAAGTAAGAAGGTATAAGCCATAATCTCATTCCAGCCACTAACACCCATTCTCTACTCAGAAAGCTATTAGCCAGGCCAAGTACATTCCAAGCCCTTTCTCAGCTTCTGGGGGATACAGGAACCAATGTTTCTTCCCTTAGACTTCTCTCAAGAGAAAAGTCTTGCATATTAGAGTCTGTAGATGGTACAAATGGTTACTGTGGAAGGCTGGCTATTCGAATCTACCTTGATGCACCTCAGAGGAATGGACTGGCAGTGTACTTCTGCAAAATCAGTCATAAACACCCTCCTGGAAGAATTCTACTGTAACATTTCTAAAATTTCCCCGATAGCCAATGACTATTTTTTTTCCTGACTACCAAACAGTTGCCATACACACACACACACACACACACACACACACACCTCTCCCCTACACCTTCTGCTGCAATAAGGCTTTTGCTTCAATTCTCCACACATGTGACACAGTAGGTGGCAGGTGATCATGACACAGAAAATGTGACATTATTAAGTTAACACAGTAGAAAATGAGACTTTAAAAAAAAATATTACCTGTTTCGGCTGAGCTCCTTTTGAGAGAATGTCAAGTAAGTCAGCAGAAGAGATAAAATAGAAACGAGGAAAAGCTACACGCTTCGTTTCCAGGTATTCAGTAAGAGCTTTTTCACAAAGAGAAAGCCTATACAAAGAAAAAATCTTCTTAAGCACATCTTCTCATTCAGTTATTATAAATCCAGCATTATCTAATCTAGTTCCTTCTCATCAGTCCATTAATGGTATTAGTCTGTTTCACATAACCCTCTGTCTACTCTTTGACACTGTCATCTTTCTTATGACCAGTGTGTACATTCTATCATGTAGGAGGATATGCACACACATACAGTTGAACACACAATTGAGGCTAAATATAGATCAAATTTTGGTTATGACACTCATCGATTCTCTTAAGGACACCCCAAATCAACACTGGAGAAGATGAGTTTGACTGTGTTCAACCTGAGTACAAGAATATATTAGAAAAAGACACCAAAAACAAACAAACAAACAAAAAAAACCCTAAACTCATTGTCATAGAATCTGAACTGACTCAGAGATGAGCCTCCATTGGGTTTCTGAGGCTCTATATTACACAGGAGGAGACTGTCCATCTTACTCCCATGAAGTGGATGGTGGGTTTCAACTGCTAGAGAGGTAGTGCATCGAGTTAGCAACAATTCATTCTAGACCACACGCCCCGTGCTCCCTATAGATGTACCAGTAAGAAGTAGTCGGTTTGAGATCTTCCTTCCCCACAGAATTCCTATAAAGTGTAAGTGGCTTCAACCTTCAGGTATTCATAGTCACAAGACCTAGAATCATTTCCACTTTATGTGTCCTTACCAGAGGTGACCCAGAGCAGAAGAATCTTGACATAATTAATTAACTCCTGTAGCAATACACCATTTTCAAGTTACAGCTCATTATAACTCTGACTGTTCAAATTTTAAAATTTTTTTGCTCAAACAAAATAGATTTCATTTAGATATTTAGCTGACTTTCCAATAAAGATTGACCACAATTCCATATAAATATCTCCATTTAAGCAGTTGATTTGTCCATTGTTAATCAGAGATTATTCCACTAGCTGTTGTGAAATTACTGGTGCCATTATTTTAAAACTTCATCCAGGACAAGGACTTTTGGGTATTAAAATGTTCTCTAAGGATAATTTATAATAAAATTATACATCAACATAAAGGGCTTAAAAGAACAGAGTATAATCCAAGTTTCAGACATACAACAGTTGCTCAATTAGTACTTGCAGGACAGACTGGTGAATTTTTAAATAATATACTCTAGTTATAATAATCCTTCTGAAAACCAGAAAGAATTTAATTTCATTATACTTATTAATAATATATATGTACTACCTAATATGTGTGCAAAGCTGTTTTAGGTAGAATTACAAAACAACTTAATAAAGATTACATTTATTTTAGCACAATGTTACAGACTATTAGATTACAGAAAAAATTATCATAAGACCATAGCAAACTAATCATTTCATAATTTTATTCTTACCTGTACTGCAAATCTTTAAGTTGTTCATAGAGACTGGGCCTGCATGTTGTTTCTAAAACATTTTTTATTTTAGCTGTGTTGAACATTAATTCCTGCATGAAAAGACAACATAGAACCACTAATATTATAAATGCTTGGTGATATTTTGTCTATTTAAGAGACTGGTAACTGAAGAACAAACAATGAAGCAGCAACATTAAGATGACCAGGAACTCTTTACATCACATACATTCCTATTTGCTCTAAGTTTTTAGGTATCAATAAAAAAAAGTGTCTATCAAAATAAATCCTGTGTGCTATACTATCATTCTGAGCCCACAAAGAATGAAACTATTCTAACTCCTCCCCATACTCTGGTAAAAAGACTAGGGTGGAGAAAGTCCAGAATATTAAATGGTGAGATAGTGTAAATTACCTATTCTAAGCCTTCTAAGTTTAAAAATTTAGAATTCTTCTAGTAGTTCTGCATTAGATTAGATAGGAAAATGAAAATATTTAATCCTCAAATCTCAAAAAAAAGGTCAGTCATTTCGATTGAGTTGAAACAGGCTCATAGTTGACTCTTCAGCAGATTTTAGATGCTGTAAATCACAGGAAATTGCCCATCTTTCTCCCTCTGAGCTACTAGTGAATTTGAACCTCCAGAGAGGGATCCCAAAGCTCCTTCAGGGCACAATGGGCACTTTTAAACATTGTTGATAAAGTCCTAACATTGTAAGATGTGGCACAGGGAAAGAGTAATTATTAAAACACCAAGCATTTATCACACACATATGAATGAGAGGAGAAAGAGATAATGTCATTACTCGCAGCAGACAGTCTCTCAGTTCATTTATCATTATTTAGAAGGCAACTCCCCCCTTGTGTTCTTTTCAACTCTTGCAGAAAAAAAGTAAAATGGAAAAAATACCTTTAAATCTCCAAACGGGTATCATTATTTTGCTACCTATTTCTTTTCTTTTACTAGCACATGGTAATCATGCTTTCCTGCAAGGTTTACCCATTTGGGCCCCCTGCCTATTTCTGCACAACCTAGAAATCAAGGAGGCTTTTAGTATTTGTTCAAATGGTTGTTTAGAAAAAAAAATCAAGAGATGAATATTTTTCGCCATTAAAGTTATTCATATTTCAGTAAGGTTTTATTGAAGCACAGTCAAATCTAATTTTTATGCACTGTTTGTAGTTTGCTGCAATGGCAATGCTGAGTAATTTAGATTAGATTATTTGATAAATTATTTACTGTCCAGCTCTTTCTAGTAAAAGCCTCTTGGCTCCTGATTACTAGAATGCAAAAATATAATTTTATAAATAAGATGTACTGAATCCTATTTCTTTATAAGACTTTCATATTTTTTAACTACTATGCTCTGATAGTTTCAAAGTTTATTCTCTCTGAACCTTAAATTCAGCATCAATCTCATCAAATCTTCTAGCATCTGTCCCCAGCTGGATGCGAATATCTTCCGAACAGGAAAAGATGCTTTCCAGGTGAGACCATGTTCGCTGGACTTCCATCCATGTAAAGATGACTGTGTCTGCTATGTTTAGCTTATTCTGCCAATTTAAGACTTGCTCAATGAAATATTCCACAAACTTGCTTTGAAGAAGTGTCTGTAACTGAACCTAAAAGAAAGGCACAAAATCATGTAAGTAACCATTAATTTGATAGATAGCACACTAGATGAGAAAGGAATAAAGTCTGGTGTTTACTCATGAATGTCTTAGGACCTAGCACACCATAACTAAACAGTTATGCAATTAAAATTGAGTAAGGAGAAAATCAAGTTAACAAATGGTAGTAACTATTCATATCAACATTTTTCCCAAAAGAAAAAGATAAATACAAGTAATTGCACTTAATTTGTCTTCTGTCAGAAGACTATGTATCTCTGTATATATAAACCAATGTATTCCAGGGTGCAACTTAAGGAATTAAACTTCATTCTTTTAATTTCTCTCCTCTTTCTTTGCCTGTTAGAGTCTTTTATCTTTAAAAGAAAGGGAAAGGTAAAGGTAGAGAGGGGCTAGAAAAAGGAAGTGGAAGGAATTAACACAATGAGGAGGAAGGGGAAAGAGAAAGGAAAAAACTTCCCTTCAAACTGCCAAGATCTCAAGTCTCCATTTCTCTGGCTAATATGTCTCTTCTTCCTTTCTTAATAATTCTTTTCAATGAATGAGGATGACAGAAGGAGGATTGGCGACTTTGAGCTGTGTTGTTGGAGAAGATCACTGAACATCCCGCGGACGACCAAAAGTACAACAAGATGTCTTAGAGAGGACACAGCCAGAGTGCCCTCTGGAAGCAAGAGTAATGAGACTTCACTTCACATATTTCAGGCATGTTGTGAGGAGGGGCTGTTCCTTGGAGAGAGACATGATGCTTAGAAAGGTAGAGGAAGACCCTCGACTCAGCAGATTGACACAGTGACTGCCACAATGGGCTCTAATGTGTCAGAAAGTGTGAAGATGACACAGGCTAGGAAAGGGTGCAAATATGTTGTTCCTAGGGTCACTATGTGTCATACCTGACTGACAGTACCTAACAACAACATTTCCTATTGAATATATCCAAAAAGATGCCCATCTCTATGCCCTTATTATCTAATACTACATAGATTATGCTCTCACTTCTCTCTCCAGCTTTGCTTCCATAAATAAAACTATATTCCCAGGAAGTTATATAGAATGTTAAGTTTCATCTGCATGCACGTGCTTTCTGGCATTCCAAGATACTGCTAAGATATCCTGTTGCCTGTTAACACCCCTTGCTAACTGCCATTGTTTTCTGGTGGCCTCATAGTAAGAAAATGGCACTGCCAACCCAAAGGTCCAGGGTTCAAGTCCACAAACATCTCCTCAGAAGAAATTTGGATAATCTCCTCCTGCACAATTTACACACAGACTCTGAAAACCTGCTGGGAGAGTTGACTATGAGTTGGATCTGACTAACTCAATGGCATATTTCAGCACTGTTTTCTAAAGTCAAGGTTCAAGGTAAGCACCACCATCACCTGATAAGGCCCATTCTTCGTCTTTCACCTTTCCCATTAAATAGCCTCTTGGTTTCTTAGAATTCTGAGAGCCTTTCTGTTTGTCTCTTCACTGAGTGAAAGTCTACTGGGGGGGGTGCGGGGGAAGAGCTCCTGCCTTCACATTTCTAGGGGGAAAATGCCTAGTACCATTATACACTGTTGTGTCACAGACGACTCGTGGCAACCCTATAAACAAAAGTCTTGAACACCAAAAACTCATCTTTTCTCTAAGGTCATTGAGTTTCCAGAGGCCAGCTATTTCAGAAGTGGCTGTCACTCCTGCTTCAATACCTGTTTTAATTCAGGAGCTCCACCTAACACTGCCCACCATGCGTAACCATTATCACCTTAGACAAATGAGTGTCACAGTTTTTATTCTCCCAGCAACCTGAGTTACCTCTGTACAGCAAACTGACAGACCGGTGCTATACTACTTAGAAGAATGTTTGACTGAAAACAATTAAAAACCAAGCCCAAGGGTGCGCAGGGCCAGGGCCCAAATGCCTTTGTAAATGTGAGACCAAATCCAGTGAGCTCACACCCACCCAGTTGTGAGCAACAACTACACCAAATCTCAACCCAAAACCCAAAAACACACCTTTGCCAAATTTGGCCACTCCACTCATGTTCCTAGACTGAAAGTAGCCCCAGACTGGTGACCAAATGTCTTTTTAAATTTGAGGTCAAATCTAATCCATTCACACCCAGGTTTGTGCAACAGACACACCCAAAACTCAACCAAAAACCAGAAAACACACCTTAGCAGAATCTGGCCACTCCGCTTCGCTTACCCCGATTATTCACTAGTCAGTGAATAAATTAAATATCAGATATTGTGCAAAATCTAAAATATAAATTTAAAAAAAGACATAGTAAAAATATTTCTCTTACTTGATTGTTCTCCAGAATTTCAAAAAGTTGTTCATCAGACTTCAGCAGTGGAATGCCTGTCCGATAGTGAACGTCATAAGAAAACTCCAGAGTTGCCCAGGTCTGGCTGATTTCAGTAATAACCTAATGACAAACAGTGTAAAGTAAATCATCGACACAATAATTTAATTTACATAATGTTTTAAGCTATTATTACAATTAAAAACCCCAAAACTCAAATTCATTAGCATCAAGTGGGAACCCACACATTCCTGACCCGCCAGTGGGTTTTCAGAGGCTGTGTTTAAATGACATGCGAAGAAACTGCCCATCTTTCTCCCTCAGAACAGCCGGTGGATTTGAACTGTCCATCTTTTGGTTGGCAGCACAATTTCCTACTTACTAGGCCATCAGACTCCTCTATTTATATATAAGTGGGCTTATATCAATTATTCTTGACCCCAATTTTTTTTTATCCACATAATTCATGGGCTAGAGAATTCCATCACCCAAAAATAACAAGCATCATAGCAATATCAAACTTCCATTAGATATGAGTTCTACATCTTTCACAGAAAAAAAATTAAATATTAGAGTTGGAAATGCTTAAAGGAATTACCTAAGATTGGATAGATAGGTCTCAAATGTGGTACAAGGCCCTCCAGAGAACCTAGTGGCAAGAAGCTGCACTGCAATCCCAAAGGCAATCCCAAGGTTCTAATCAGCCAGCTGCTCTGTGAGAGAAAGATGAGCAGTCTCCTCTCCTGTGATTAACTGCGTCTGAAAACCCTCCAAAAGGTCAGGTATGGGTCAGTTCCAACTCAACAGTACACAACATTTACAAATTACTCAGCACTGGGTAGATAGCACTTAGAGCATATGGATGAGAATCTCCACTCCCTTGTATCTATCTTAGTGGTGATTACTTTTATCTTTCTAAGTGAAGGAAGGAGCTCTGGTGGCCTAGTGGAAAAAGCTGTGCTGCAATCCCAAAGGCACATGGTTTGAGGCCAGCAGCTGCTTCACAGGAGAAGGATGGGCAGTCTCCTCCCATACAATTA